AAGCCCTATTGACACCAGTAATACTGCTTTTGAATTTGTTTTGCATAAGCCTTAATTAAAAACTTTAAACTGGAACAAATTTTCAATTAAAAAATAATTATTTAATGCAGTCAAACTGCTTTTTTACAGCAGTGTTGCTCTACACCAAGCGGAAAATAAACATTTGGTAGATTTTCGTGCTCGGATAATAATTTATTGAACTGAAAATATCTTGCACAGCACATTAGTTTTAATCTACACGTACTTAGAAAACCTTTTGCTGACGAAACGTGCGCACTTATCGCTATGCTGAGTTGCCAATTGGATTGGCAAACATGTATAGTAAGTGCATACTATATATCCAGCATTTCATACATACAAGTATATAGGCATCGGGCAAACAATGTGTTAAATACTTGAGCCAATAGTCGTAACATATTGAGGAGCATAGGTTGAGCACCAAAACGAAACAAATAAATCACTTGACCAGCAGAAGCCAAAAAAAGAAAATACTTAAAAAATAAACGACAGACAACTCACACCTAACGGAAACGTGGCGCGTAACCGTATGGGAGGCAGACCTATGAAGTAATTGATATGCAAAACAAACCGAAAGAGACCAACCATGCCAGGAAATACTCGAAAAACCCGCTCTAAATGGCAACTACATATTATGACTCTTAATTTGAATGTGCAGAGTACTTTATAAAACAATTTCATAATTCCCCATAATCACGCAGACACCAATAGCAGCAACAACACCACTAAAGCATCTCAAGCCAAGTCAAGTGCACAGTCTTCACTGGCAAACGACGGCCGAGTAGTCGGATAATCGAACAGCTGAGCAGCTGGTTTGGCTGGTTTTTAAGGTAGGTCGGCCCAACAGCCCGGCCTATGTCTGTCTGTCTGTCTGTCTGAGCACTCATATTGCCTCACTTTCACTTGGCTTGGGTGCTTGGCTTCTTTTCGCTTCCGCACAAAACTTGGTCAAATGTTTGTGTGCCCGCAGATACCAACAGCAACAGCAACACCAACAGCAACAAAAACCAAGCACAGTGGGACATTCTGAATGCTTGAATTTAATTGTATTCGTACGATTTGATTTCTTTGCCAACATTAAGAAAAATTAGTTGACTATTTAAATAGTTTTCTTTGAATAGCAGTTGGTGAGCTTGCGATCTGCTTTGAATCGAAAAAGTGAAGTCAACCAAATGAAGATATTTGATTTCATTGGCAGTCAAATAAAAATAAAAATTTAGTTGCACATACAAGTAGTCTTTAGTTCAAATACGCAGATTTAAGTAATATTTGATAATGAGATGTTGTTCTGCTCAGGACATATCATGAGGGGTGCAGAAACGCGATATTTTGTAAATACCAACCATTAGTTATTTATCATCATCACATTTTGTTGCCGAATGTTTTGAAGTTCAAATTATTATACATTAAAAACTTTTCAGTTCTTAAGAGGAGCGCCTATGAGAAGCAGACTACCCATGCAGACGCTAGTTTTTCTAATTGTCCAACAGAGGTCTGCTTTAGTTTGCTATCGTATCGGCTTTTCATATCGCTTTTGGTCAATATCTATCTGCAATCTTACCATTTTACAAAACGGCCATAAATACTAATCGTTTTATGTTCTTAACAGTCATTAATTGTGGCTTATATACAGGGTGCGCCATCTTTTATGTCGGTATGTAAATATTGAATAACTTTGTCATAAGTGAACCGATTGACTTGAGTAGACCAGTGTTGAAAACCTCAGTTCAAGAAATTGTACAGAACCAATTTAAATAAAAATATCTCATGCTTGAAAATCGGTTGTTTATTTTCAAAGATATTCAATGTTTACATACCGACATAAAAGATGGCGCACCCTGTATGTTTCGGACTACTTCCCCATGTTTCATCAGTTTTGTAAGAACTTAATTAGTTGAAAGTGGAATTGGAGCTGGATAAACTATTTTCTCAGCACTATTATCGGCGATTTTCCATGTATTTATTATATTGGAGTAAATTTTGTTGGAGTTTTAATTTTAAAAGCATTTTGTTTTATTGCACGCGTTTAAGGTGTAATGACTGTAATTATATTAAATCGAATACCACACTTTTCATGAACAGTTGCCTATTTATTGAATGCAAATATGTTTTGCACATTTTTAATACTCTTCTTCTTACCCCGACCGAAAAAGGTGTTTAATTCTTTACCAGCATCTACATATTGTGTTTCTCGAGTACATCGTGATGTTCAGGTTTTCTAACAACGCCTCTCTGAATTGGAGAGCAATTCAGATGCACTCAATACTAAATTTTTGCTTAGCCCGCCTTCTAATTTCCATAAGTTGGTGCTAGTTTCCTGATGTTATTGCTTTTTAGGTATATTTATAGAACATAAAAAATGAACAACCTAGTATGCAGTGGAAGCAAAAAGGTCTGTAAAATTTTGAATGTGCATCGAGTGTTTATGAATATGTGAAGTATGCTCTTTGGCCTCAACTTTGAAGCAAAAAGTAACGCCTCGCGATCAATTATTTTTGCATTTTTTTTTAAATACTTTTGGAATTTAGAATGTACACATGTATGGGTGTGTAACAGTACTTTGTGGACTTTGTGTGTATGTGGAATTCAAAGAGATGTTTTTTAAGAAATTTAGAATATACTACCCTTTTTTTTAAGAAGAGGGCAATTTTTGGGATGTTCTTAAACTATTTCAACTGAAATACCTTCAAATAAATTGTTTGGAAACAAAATAAGTTTCTTTATTCCTTTTTTCATAATGAGCAGTAAAGGCAACTAGTTTCCAATTTAGCTATAGTCGTTTTATTTGTAAACTGAAGCACCACTGTGCTGTGATCAAAATGCAAAACAAACTTGGCCGCAAACTTTAAACAACAACAACAACAACAATACCAACTATATACTTACAACAATAAAAGCAAAAGCCACCATCGTTTTTTAGTTTACACTTTAAGTTTGTCATCCTCTCTCCAAAAAGTTGTTTACGTTTTTTTTTGTATTTTTTAGTTCGTTATTTGTTTTGTTATAATGCAGCGCTTTGGCTCATGGAGCACCATGGCGCAAAGTTGTGCCGCCACCGTCAGTCAGTCAGTCAAAGACTTTAAACGCACCAAGTCGGCTGCTCGTTTAATGTTTGTTGTTTAATTTTTGTTCGGCCTGTGAATTGCATTTTCCAGTGACTTGCTGTACTTGCAGCTAAAATGAATATCCGCTATATTTGCAAGTTGTCGTTGCTGCCAACGCTGTATGTGTTGTTCGTCTTGCTGCTGGAGTTTGTGGAGCAGAGTCTGGCCCAGAATCCCGACCCACTCTTCGAGCTGCCTGTGCAACTGGTGGGATTTCCGGTGATTGTCTTGTCTGTGCGATTGTCGCAATTTGCCAGGAAGTTGGCCTACTCACTGAATCCAAGTAAGTCGCAGGAGTGCAGCAGAAGTTGTGGTTTGTATAATCGAATGTGAAAGTGTTGGCCGGCCACCACCAACAATAGGTTGACTAGGGTCTGGCATTTTTAATTAAATTTCATATAAAGTGAAAGTCAACACAGACATTTTTTGTATTTGTGCATAAATTATAAATTTCGCCAGTGACAAAAAGTGCGTGCCACTGCATGAAAACTTAATGAGAAATTTCCATTTCAATTAATTTCATTTCATATTCACAAATGAATGCGTAATGCATAACTTATTGCCAGGCTCGTTCCAATGCCAACATTTCAAATGTGTGACAAAAATCGCGCCAAACTCGGTCGTGTGCGTCCATTTAGCCGCAACGCCGAATGGGGTCAAGGCTGTTGAGTCCAACTACAATATACACAAGTATATACTCGTATGTACATACATACATCACGTATGCCATCCGAGCTAATGCCGCTAAACAGTTAGCCAAGCTGCATACTCTCCATATTGTTGTTGCTGTTGTTGTGCGTTGAAAGCTTTTTGGGCAAAACCAAAGCAAGTGTAGCCGCGCTAGTTGCGTTAGAGCCGCTGATGATGGCTGCTCCGATAACCCAGTCTCTTTTGTAATGCCCACATGGCGTATGAGCAATGCGGTATTCCATCAAAGCGTTAAATAGGGAAAGCCCAATTTTGCACTTCACATAGTAATATAAGAGCTATATCGATTATAGAAAGATTATAACGTGGCTGTATATTTATGGTTTTTAAATTCAAGTTAATTTCTCAATTCATATTTAAATCTGCGTTGCTCGAATTAAGTTCCCAGTACATTTTTTATAGAAAAAAGAGCAGAACTTAGCTCTCATTTCTTTGCCATATATCGATGCTCCCAAACTTTTGCTATCGAAGCAAGCATTTGTTATCGAATTTTTCATTTCATCTTGTTTCTATTGATTGGCTTCGTAAAGAAAGAGGAGTTATCAGCTCTTCGAAAATATTTATTTTACATGCTCTTGAAAAAGTCAAAACTATAAAAACAACATAAAACATTTATTAGTTAGTTATTACTTTAGCATAGTTTTTAAAGTTAATACAAGTGCTTTAATGTACTTTTTACGAGCGAATACATTTAAAAGAAATAAAAGAAAAGCATTGATTGCTCTGTTAAAATAAATTAAAACGAACAATAAAAGTGTATAAAACTTCGAATAAGGCGGAAAAAGTATTCTGAAAAAGCTACAACTAGTTATAAAGTTAATAATACAAATTAAATTGTTAGGTTATTAGTTAATATTCTGAAAGTCATATTTATTTCATTATTTAATTCATTCCAAATTAGCTTAAAATCCTAAGAAAGAAAATCCTAAAGAAAAATACAATCTATATGATTATAACTTCATAAATCTCTCGAGCAGTCACATCTAAGTACTTGTAACTAACTAATACGAACAACTTCCTATTTTTTTCGTTTCTCACTCCAATGCAGATACCTATCGCTCGCGTAGCAGACGTGACGCCGCTCATCCATTGGCTCTGGACGCTGAGCTGGCGCAGAAGCAAATAATAAGCGAGTTTGGTCCACACGCCTGCATTTTGGAGGAGCCGTGTCGAGTGCACGCGTCACGTGCGGCAAGCCAGCGTGGCAGCAGCAACGGCGGCAACGCCACCCCACATGCACCGTGGGCCGAAGTATTGAGGTAGGTCCACATATTCAATTTAGGTGGTGGTGGCCAATGGAGGTTGTTGTTTGCCAAAGTCTTCTCATCTATTTTCATACTTTTAATAATTGGTATTGCTTATAGAGCTATAAATCTATTGAATGATATCGATGCAACAAATTGGTTGAAGTTTATTGAATGACTAGACACTGACCTCAACAACCTTGTATTGTGGTTTGTTTTGTTTTTCTAAGTCAAAAAATCCTGCACTCATCCATGATGTTGCAACATTTTTGGGGTTTGAAATGATAAGCAAACGTTCAGAAAGTGAATATGCTCTGTATTGAAAGACCTAATAAGACTTAAATGGCTATCAAGGGTTTGGTAGGCAGATCGATAACCACCGAAATCAATGTTGTTTAAAATATAAATATAAGAGAAACTGTGAAGAAGAACAATTTTTTCCTTTGTATACAATTGCTGCACCTTTGGAGGTAGTTTCGTAGAACATTTTCAAGACCTTCCTTCTAAAAACATTTTAAAAATGACTATCCCAAAAAGAGATTATACATTCAGAATTAGTGTTGATAACAATATTTTCCTTTGTATACAATTGCTGCACCTTTGGAGTTTCAAAGCAAATTTTTGAGACCTTCCTTTTAAAAACATTTTGGAAATGGCCTTCCTGGTTAGTGTTGATAAGTTTAGAAATTATGAAGGAACGTGCTGGAAAACCATTTGCAGTACTCACTAATGTCTAAAAAAAAGTCTGGCATCTTTGAAGCAAAATTTTCAAGAACCTTTTAGGAAACTTTCTTTAGTTGTTACAGTTAAGTAGTTGGGGTCGGAGTTTCTAGAAAACCTTTGTGAGTGTTGAATGCTTATTATATTTTTTTTTCTGAACAAAAACTCTTACCCCCAGCGTTAACTTCATGCTTCGTTACAAGTGCGTTTGGCGATGTGGCAGCTGCTAGTACTTGAACTTGTTGCTCTTAGTTGAATGTTTTACACTCCCCCTCCCCCTGGCTCTGTCACTCCCTCTGCACCTATCAATGAAATTGGTTATTGTGATGTCGCAGCCATGTCTTTTGGCCAAGTTGCTGCTCAGATGCTGCAATGCTGCACCTACTGCTGGCGCTTTCTTTGCTGTTGTTTTAGCTTGGCGATGCTTTGCTTTTGTCATTTGCCAAATGAATGGCTTGTTTTTAGCTACAAATGTTTTCCAATCAGTTTTTATATCTCCCTGTTGTCGAAGTCATCGTCGTTATTGCGCTCCATTGTCATTGGCAATGCTAACTCATCTGTGCATAATTTAATGGCTCTCCTACTGTCGCTCCCAACGACCCTATCGCCCACTCCTCCACTATTAAGTTGAGTTGAAAAATGCTTGTCATTGTGCAGCGTGTTTTCAATTTAAAAGTTTTTGTAAAAATTTCAAGTTTGCAAACAAACATATCGCCAATTCAAGCAACAATTTGCCTTTGTCATGCCAATGAAATTGCATCATTAGGAAGAGAGAGAGAGAGAGCAAAGCAAATTATTCTTTTCCGCACGCTCATAAAAAGGGCATCTTTTGTTTGTGTTGTTTGTGCTTTCTGGCTAAACTGACCTGCCACATGCTGCACTGCAGTGATTCATAATTAATGCACCCTCTCTAAGCTTTTTAGTGGATTTTTTTTTGGGGTTGCTTGGCATTTTACGAGCATGTTTGAATGCAATGAGTTGCTGGTATTTCTGCCACTCTGATAATAAACATTTTTATTTCCTTGTCTCTCTGTCTATCTGTATTTTTGTCTGTCCATCTCTTTATGTCGTTTTGTCGTTTTGTGTGTGTCTTGCATATTTCACAATAGCAACTATTTGAAATATTTAATGGTTGTTTATGTCTGTCCAGCTTAAAGGGCAGACTCAGATATGAGGCAACAATAGATTTTCTTTCGGCACACGTGTCGTATGCGCAACTTCTGATATGAATGCCCATAAGCTCTCGTATTGTTGTAAATACATTTCATTTAATATTTTCTCATATCGCATTCGCCACACACAAAAAGTTACTATTCAGATGCTCAGCCAAATGTTTGCATCTGACATTTTCACACTTAACGTGCAAAAATTTGCAATACGATATAACGACTTCAAAGTTTTCTCTACTATTTGTGTTTTTTTTTTGAGTGTTTTTTGTTTTTCTGCTCCCTGTGGCCCAAGCAAGCAACTTTGGCCAACGTGTCAAGTGCAAATATTCAAAATTATTTCTCAAAATTGCCCGTCGCTGTCGTCCCTCGTCTGTTCTTAGCATCACTCCAACTATACATACATACATATATACTAGTCTTTTCATATACATACATATCGTAGTTTTGTGTGTATGTTTAGTTTTCGTTACACTGCAAATGTAATTGGCATTAGAAGTTTTGTACGTCTGTGTTGCCCACGACGTGTTTTGTAATAATAAAATATGATTAAAGTTTTTGATTAAATTTATGCAAGCGCACGGGGTTGGAGGTTGGGTTTGGGAGGTGAAGGAGGCGGTCAGTCCGTTTGCCGTTTCGGGCCAATGGCCGGCTGGTTACTTTGGGTTTCGAAAGTGCTGTGTTTTTTGCTTTTGTTGTTGCTGCACCTTTTTGAGGGCACTGGGAGTTGTTTTGTTTTGCTGGTTGAGTTGATTAAATTATGCCATTGCAGACGTGTGAAATTTTTAGTTTGTCTGCTGACCAAAAAGGTGCCGTGAGTGCGAACGACACAAAGTAATCAGTAGATCTAAAAGGGAGTGGGAATGGGATTGCATGGGATGCTGGCATGTTAGTGAAAGAGTTCAACAATTTAAATTACTTGAGGAAAAACAATAGTTTTTCTGCTGATAATAGAGCTAGTATTGAAAGAGATTGTTAGTGGAGACCAGACTGTCTGTCTAATAAATACTCTGAATTCAGCTTTAAGAAATAGTTCTTGTTAAATGAAGGAAAATATCAAACAAAACTTGAAAATTCAGTGAAATGTATCTTCGTAGCAACATTTGCAACTGTAGCTAAGAAATATTTTTAGTCAAAAAAGGGGAGAAATATCTATCTATTTGGAATTGATTGATTATATATTATCCATTCTGTTTATCATTTTAACAAACATTTGGTTTTTGTTTTATAATGTACTCAGCTTAATTGGCCATTTTTTTCTAAATAGATTAATAATTAAACACATGTACATATTATTATTTCTTAAAGCTGTTTTACGAGATAATTATCGCAAATTAAATAAAAACTGTTACTCCGTCTAAGACTTCGCTAGAACCAGTTAGAACGACGTACTCGTTTGGTTTCTGCTGCAGAGTAGAAAAAAATTCAGACTTGGTAGAAAAATGATTGCTAAAGCATAAGTGGTTTTAATCATAACTTAATCTCAATCTAAAATCTTGACAAAAACAATGCGAAGGTCAACGCAAATCAACAACTTGAAAAAAAGAGTAGGTTATCAATTCGTCTGTATGTTTTTTGGAGTTTTTATTTCAAATAGGAGGGCTTTTTTTGAAGTTTCTTGAATCAAATATATAACATATATAACAAATTTATTGCCCTAATGAGTTCTTATTTGTTGCTGTTTAGTTAGGGATGTCCGATATATTTTAAACTAATTTATTTTATGGCTGACATCAACTACTTGCCATTTGTAAGACAACTGAAAAACTATTTTAAAAAAATGTTGATAACATATTGCAGAATGTTTAAAGTAATCTTTTTGGGTGAAATGGGATAATTATATTTTAAAGTATTTTAAGTATTTTGTTACGCTCTTTAAACTCACATCAACCTGTAAAATTTGGTGAAGGAACAGCAACGAAACATTTTTCAGCTACACATTATTACGAGCATTATGCATATCAGAAGTATGCCTTGAAACATACATAAGTGCTCTTGTCCTGCCCATCAGATGCCAGAAGGAGTCAGAGCCACTCATCATCAGTGCAGAGAGCTGAAATTGCTTTTGTTTTCGTGAATACAAGCCCGGCACTGTTCCTAGCCCGTGGCATATATACATATACATACATACATACATACATACATATAACCCATGATGGTGTTGGTTCGTTCATTCCGTTCGTTTGTTCGACTCTACTGCCTTGTGAATATTACCCGCTACTTATAAGTAATTATTTTCGTAATCCGCTTTTTGTTGCCGACTATTGTTTCGACTACTCTCTCTCTCTCTCTCTCTCTCAATCTCTCTCTCCCGCTGTCGCCATCAACCCACTCAGCAACTACAAAGTGCAATCAACTGGCATGAAACAATGGTACCTGCTCTCGCTCTTTATTGGCGATGCTGTGCGCGATGTGCCGTTATGCAAGCACCTGGCCAAGCGCATGCCATGTCCAGGCGTTGGACCGTTACCGCCACCGCAACCGCGCTGAGACAACAACAACAACAACAACCGCAGTATCAGTAGCAGTAGCAGCGGAAGAAACAACATCAATGATACTGATTGGGGAAAAGGGAGGGTTTTTGGCGCAAGCCGTGGGCCAGTGCGCCGCATCGAGTCAGTCGAACAGACAAACACACAATCCATACACACACACACACACACTCACACACACATACTATACTCGTACACACACTCATTACTTTTACAGTTATTTTTCAACTCTTCTTTCTTTCGCCTCTTGTTTGACGTCATTTTACTTTTAGTTGTTTATTAAGGCTCTTAATTTAAAAAGGCAGGCAATGTGAGTAGCGTAGGCGTTTTAAATTTACGATGAACACAGAAAAACGAAGAAACAATAAACTGAATGAACAAAGGAAAGTGTATGCATTCGACTATACTCGTACATACATGCATACATATAGTATATGTATATGTGTTTGGGAACATTTGTGAAAATGCATGCATGCTTGGACATGTGGCGGCGGCGCTTGCCGGCTGGTGAGACTCTCAGCCAAAGAATAGCCGCAGTTTGCTTTTCATTTACTTGAATGCACGAACAATGCATTTGCGCGCATTTCCCTTTTTTCCTAGTTGCCAACAAAAATTGATACTCCAAAAACAGAAGAAGAAGAACAAACAAGAAATGCAGACCCATCATCAGGCAACAGAAGCAGCAACGCGAACAAAAAACTGTTGCATATTTTTTAGCCGCGCTCACAAATTGTTGACGCAAGGCATTAAGCTTCGTAGTCATCTTTTTTGGAGCTTGCTGCAAGCACAGCAACATGCAGCAGCTTTGGGTAAAACACACAATCCCCACCCAACTATCGCTATTTCGGCTCATTGCACAGTGGGACACATTCCGAATATATCAGTTCAATGAAAATAATTTGAAAACAAAAACACAATTTTTCAAAGATATTCTTATACTAAATAGAACAAGCAATTTATTAGCTCTATCATCTTTTTTTTTTGGGAATCCATGAAAAGACCATACAATTAAATTTAAATTTAATTTAAATTGGTTGAAATAATAATACATGAAATGTAGTGTAAGCATCTGGGTAGTCAGAATATCGTCGAGGTATCCCAGCTAATCCCAAGAAATGTTGAGGGAAAAATGTTAGATTTACTCCAATAAATATAATAATAAATTGTCTTTTTAATCATTTTGAATTTAATGTTAATCCTGTAAATAAAGGGTATCAGTGAATAAAGCCTGCTATAATAGCAAATACTGCTCCCATTGATAAAACATAATGAAAATGGGCTACTACATTTAACACAATTTTTCAAAGATATTCTTATACTAAGTAGAACAAACAATCTATCATCTTTTTTTTTTTGGAATTCCATGAAAAGACCATACAATTAAATTTAAATTTAACTTTCGATTGAAATTAAGGATTTCGGAACAGATCTGTTTTAATGACACATCAGTGAAAATTCCATCTTTCCCTGTACTTAAAAAAAATATTTATTTTGATTAGATTCGAAAACGGAATTGAGACATTTTTTCTTCAACACGATTTTGAATCGTGCTTAAAACAATGGTGTCTTTTGTTGCCTACAAAATGTATAATTGTGTTATCATCAGCCGTCGAATATGGAAGAAATCCTCTGATTACGAATTTGTAAATAATTAATTTGTTATGTTCCCTTTGGTTCCTTTATTATTCCTAAAATAGATTTTTATAAATAACTAAGCATAAGCATCAGTTGTGTACAATTTCCTCTCATTAGAGCTATTTAGGACCCTATTTGTGGCAATAGCTTGTGATTGACTTTTAAAAATTAAATGCAATTTTTTAAGTTTCTTCTTTAATTGTAAATGATGAATGTTTAACCACTATGGAACATAGTTTTTTCCAATTTGTATCCACTCGAATCGCCAATTGCCCCACTGTGCGTTGCAATACACCCACAGCCCCGTTCGCTATGCTATTTATTAACTCGTTGCATATGTTTGCATACAAACGTGTGCGCGAACATCGAGAGTGCTGTAAATAAAACGTCACGACAGCGACCCAACAGCAGCACAAATGTCGCTCTGCGGATTGCTTGGCAACTCTGTGATGTGCTGGTTTGTCGCACAAAAGTATGCTGCACTTTGCATTTTGTGTGATTTTTTTTTTTGTCCAGAGCGCCGGGGAAATCGCTGACAATATAAAAAGAAAAGCAACTGTTTGCTGGTTTTGCGTCTCTTTATCGCATTTAATTTTTCAAACGTACGAGTATTCCCCTGTTGTGCCGTTTTCCGCAAGATTTATGTGTCATTTCTTTTGCATATTTCATTTGCTGGAACTTGTTGATTTGTGGACTCTGGCAATTGGTTTTAAAGTGGCGAGAATTAAAGAGTGTTTTCAATTTTTCAATAAATATATATTCTTTGCACATAAATCATAACAAATACAAATATTTACAAACTTAAAATTAAGCTAGCCTGTGCCTTCTCACCCACTGCCCAGATAGACTTTGCTTCCATCCGGCTTTATATAATACTCTGTAATGCCATGGGCATTGGTTACATAGATGTTTTTGTCATCCTCGTGCTTGGGTTGTCTCGTAGATGGTATTTGGTAGGCACTACTATAGCGATTATCGCTTATGTAGTTCGTATTGGGATAGTTGTAGTGTGCGTTATAGTTGGGCTGCTCCCCAAAACGTACTTTATTACCTTCGGGCAAATACTCGCCATAGTTCATGAAACTCTGACTGTGGCTATTGGTTTGATAATGCGCATCATTTGTTTCTAGTCGATAGTACGCACCGGCACCTTCGGGCCTGTGTGCATCACTAACGACCAATCGATCTTCTTTATAGTCATAGCTAGGGGCATAGGTGGGCCTATGAAGTATCTTGCCGCGCCGGATATAACGTTCGTAGTGATCAGGAAAGATGACTCTGGCACCACGTTGTGGGGGCGCAGCTTCCTGATACACCGCATTAAGTGGAACGTGCTGCTGCTCCTCCCTCAGCTTCTCCTCATTATCCGGATACTCATCATGCTCCTCATTAGTGTCTTTGAACACAATGCGCTTGCCGCGACGCTTATTCTCGCCATAGTCTGCCGCGCCGAGCTCATTCGGCAAAACAACACGCCACCCTTCGGCATAATCCAATCGCTTTCCTTGGCGTTCCGGTTCACTCTGCTCGCTGGGAAATCGTAATTTTCGCTGTGCTGCCTCGCGATTGAACTCAAAGATAGCCTCACTGTCATTTTGCGCTTCAGCCGCTTCACCCGCTTCACTCGGAAAGCGTACAGCTGCATTGTGATCGGCACCATTATGCTGCTCGCTGGCAATGTCTTTGAAATGCAAAATGCGTTCCTCTCCATCCTCCTCGGGAAACTGCAGCACACCTATCAGTTCTGTGTGGGCCAAGGCAGCCTCCGCTTCCTCGTCATCTTGAAACTTAACGTTCGTTTGTGTATCCAAATCGTCCTCTTCATCGTGGAAGTCATCAGACATCAAGTTGGCCCCATCCGGCTCAAAGCTGCGTTTAATTTCCGTTGCCTGCAGACTCCTTCGGCGTCTGCGTCTCTGATACTCCACGCCACTCAAATACTCGGACAGTATGCGCGTAAAGAAGCTGCCTATGCCATTGGCTATGTCCGTGCTGGGTGCTTGTGTGGGCCGAGGTGGTGGTCGCGGTGTGGTGTGCGACACCTGACCGCCACCGCCACCTGTCAGTGCGGAGAGTATGCTGAGGAATGAGCTGCCCCCGCCCTCGCTTTGTTGGGAGACCGCTGGTTGTTCTTCCGGTTCGCTGAAGAACTTGAAAAAGCCGCCGCGATGATTATTTAGATAGTGTATTATCTCCATCTGTAAGGCAGTTGATTGAGTTTTTCATAATTTATCAAACAATTTTTCAATTTTCACGATGAGACTCACCTCATTCTTTGGGCACTTGGCATAGGTTTGAATGCAACTGCGTTCGCCGCCACTGATTCCTAATAACGCTGCTCGTCCGTAGATAAGAGCTGGGGAAGCAGCGGGAAATCCGGCCAGAAAACTGAGAAGAGATAAACAAATATTTATTTTAATAAGCAGCCTAGTCTAAACTATGCTCTTCGTATAGCTTTTTTAAGCAGACCACTTAGCCTAAGATATTTGACAGCTCAACGGTAGAAGCCTTCTTAAATTCGTTACATAACAAGCCCTCAGCTTAGTACCGGAGTCCCTTCTGTTTACAATACCAACCTATAGTCTCCACTCATTCAGCTTGGTTATAAAACTTAATTGAGTAAATACCAATTTGCAGGGAAAAGCCAAACAATATCAATTTACAGTCTGCCTTAGCTCACCCCACGCCCTCCGTTGCCGTCTCAATCTGAGCGTAGCTCATTTAATAGAACAATCAATATGAATAGGTGGGTGGGCAGTCCTAGGACCGTAGCGACTTGCATAATGAAGTCTAATCCTAGGTAACACCACTTGCCCGAAATTAAACAGTCTGAGGACGAAAACTAGATGCCTTGTCTCGAATGCAAATGCAAATTTAATAATATTTACTTACAACTAAAGCCGATGCTTTAGCATGCGCATGCCTTGTGCCCATCCCCCCATCCCCCCATCCCCCCATCCCCCAACTTACTTGGTTATGGCCGGCGATGTAATGAAGCCTGGCAATTGGCCACGTAATGTTTGACCGGCAATCATTTGGCAGAGCACCTTCGGCACACATTGCAAATCGTCGTTGCGTGCGATGTTCTCCAGCGCCCTAATGAGTTGTGTGTTGGGCGGGCGTGTTGTTGGTTGATATTGGTTGCTGGAGCTCTGTGCACCGGTGAAAGCGCCTAAGAGGCTGCCTAATGGACTATTTGAGGAGGTGGACGAGGGAGACGCCCCGCCGCCCAACAGCAGATTCGTAAATTGCGGCGCATATTGTTGTGTGGAAGTGAACAAGGAGGCCAAAGTAGCTAGGCCGCCACCGGCCGACTCCCCTGTTGATTGTGTGGATGGGTGATAGGGTGGCCGATAGCCAGGGGCTGGGCCAGGACGATAGTTCAACTGCTGCTGTTGATGCTGTGGGTGGTGCAGCTGGTTCTGGTGCTGGGTCTGGGGCTGGGGCGGTATCTCACCAATTTGATACTCGTAGTAATTGTGTGCCGGTTTCTGCTGTTGTTGTTGGTATTGCTGTTGATATGGCGGCCGTGCAAGCGGCTCGTATTGATAGTGCGATGGGCTGGATGGTGGTCCGCCCCTCGTTGGTGGTCGCTGCAAATAATTACCAAAGTTGTTTGCATAATTAGACGACGATGACGACGATGTAGATGGCGAGAGTGGCGCATAAGCGCCTTCGTATATCGATGAGCCTGCTAATGGTCTGTTGTCATTGACGTCTTGACGGTTGTAAGGCGGCCGATGCTGCGGCTGTGCTGTGTAAGGCGGTGGGGTGGGGGGCTTTTTAGGACGCTGCGGCACAAAATTGGAAGTTTGTTGTGCGGCATAGCTAGGTGGGGGGTAATCATGCGAATCGTATGAAATTTTATTCGCAGAGGCTGCCGTTGCTCGTGCTGGTGGCGCTGCTGTGGGGCGACGATAGATCGCCGATGTAGATGAGCTCAATGGATGTTCGTCGAAGACATAGCCCGGTCGCTTGAGGTAGACATCCTCGACAATGCCAGGCCGCTGCTGATGCGGCGCGTGATTGCCAACTAGTAGAGATGATTGCACCGTATAGGCTTGATCGCCCTGCTGCTCCGGTTGCTCTCGCTGGTACTGAATGAAGGGCGGCGGTGTGGGCGTATAGCGATAGTTTTGCTGCGTATACGGATCCAGATAGCTGACCACCGGCGTTGTTGGTAAGGCTGTGCTGCTAGGGAAGCTCGAATAGCTGTGATATTGTGGCTTGTCGTCTTCCGGGAACGCAAACTGCTTGTCCATCGCAGCTGGCTGTGAGGCAAGCGAACTGGGCACTTGATATTTATAGTTAGGCTCTAGGTAGCTGGGCGGATAACGCTTCAGGCCCGCTTGCTGAGCATCTGCCGGAGTGAACTCCAGCATTTGCGAGGGTCTAAACCCAATGCCGGAAGAGCTAGACTGTCGTCCGGCCGTTTGGGGCGATTCAGCTTCATTCACGTCATTCAATTGCTCTGAGGGGAAGAAGTTTTTAAGCTTGGCGGAAATGGCTCTGCAAGAAACGGGGGGTTTGGGATTACACGACGAAATTTGCATAAATTAAGGGCACGGCTTACTCGTCATTTCCGTCGCTGTCACTGTTGTTGTTGTTGTCGCTGCCACCGCCGCCGCCGCCGCCATTTCTTATGCAAGACACGTCGCTGACTAATGCGATAATTAGAAATGCAATTTTCCATTGCATACTTTGCGGCTGTTTTCGAAATTGCATGCTGCCTGTTGAGCAATTGATCGGGCGGGTGGATGGGAAGGTGTTTTTGAAATTGCTATTCCTCCTGCTCCTCCAATGCGTCGTTGCAGCAATACTCGTACACGAACGTGCGCAGTTTCCGCACGTTTTCCACGAGATTTCCCAGCGTCTTTAACCGTCGTCTTATGTGTTTTGTCTGCAATCAAAAAAAATAAAAAAATAAAGCAAACTGCTGTCAACTTTCTGTTGGGAAAAAAGTAAAAAAAAAGAAATGCAATTTCTCCAGAGTTCTCGCGCGCAAATTTCTTGCTACATTTGCACATAAATTTATAGATTTGCGCCTGGAGACCGTGGACTACATCTGCATTCATTTGCATTCATATTAATGCAATTCTCACGTGCTTTGTGCCTTGAGCGCTGCGTGTTGTGATGTCTGTCGCGCCCACAACTTGACATTTGTTTAATTCTATTTTTTATGGCCACATCGTTGCGCTCTGTTTATGCAGCGACACGGCAAGGCACGGCACGGCACAGCACGACTGTACCGTAATCATCAACTTTATTATTTCGACGACTGCACCATATAATCATATCATAATCTTTGCCTTGTTGCCACTCTGCTCCATTTTGTGCTTCTTGCGAAAATTATTCATATTATTGTGACGTTTGTGTTTGTCGCCTTCTTTGTTGCAGACGCGCATCGCCGAGCTCTGAGAGCTTAATGCCGGCGACACGTAGTCGAGAGTCTTTGTTTATTTATGCAACTCTTGCCTAAACGGGCATCTCACCCCTTCGTACTCCTTCTTGATTTCTGTTAACTTAAGCGGGCACAAATCATCGGATTTGCGAAAATCTTTTCGGTTCCGAAACACGATTTATTGCAGAATTTTGAAACGCATAAATGCCGCTAGGTATGTAGCTATATAAAGAAATTGTTCTTTGAACTAATTTTTATATTTTGTTGACACCCTCAGCCGTTTAAGATAATTTGAAAAGTAAAAGGACAGCTAATTATGCATTATTTTGACGTAAAAGTTGCACTTCGTACATATGGGTCTGTATGAAGAAAATTAAGATTAAATCGTGGAAATCATTGATGCAGATCAGCCTGTCAGTATTGCTCGATTTGAAAAACAAACTGGCTACGAATTATCGCAAAAAAAAAATTGGATCGAATTTTGTCTGCGAATTGTTGGCCAAATGGAATGAGGGAGCATTTAGTGTAGTCCCGATCTGTCGCCAAGTGATTATTACTTGTATGATTACTCGTATAACCGCAGTGTAAACAAATTGTTTAATATTATTCCTTCTGAAATATTGCTTTTTATGACACCAATTTGCTCACATCAGGTTGCTTTTATTTTAAAGCGCTGCTTTATATTGATTAAGTTTTAATGTGCAGTGAAAGTGATAACCCAGTTTCCATTGTATTCTTGAAGAGAATTGGTTGTGAGATAAAACAAACCGATTCATTTATTAATTTATTGCCTTGTTGCTCATCAATTTCGTGTTAAGACTCGCATTTCGTTAAAACACTTTACAGCTTGTTGCTGCCGGTCCTCACACCATCATTTTTTTGGTCGTAAATTTCACCATAAACTTATTCGAAAAGCGTAGCCAATCTTTTGTGTGGCTTAGTTTTGTTTTATTAACAGCGATGTTCGATTTAAATTTAAACGAAGTCAAGGTTATTGTCTGTGGCTCACCATTCGATGCCTACCAGTACGTGATTCATGAAAAGTTTTCAACATTTCGCAAAAGTTTTTAAAGCTTGAATGCAACGGCAGCTGTGACAAGCTTATCCATGCGTTTTATTATTTATGTTTTCAGTGCTATAATATAAAAACGACTATGCCAAATGTCTTGCTGCATATAAAATTTAAATTTCATACAATTACACAAACAAGCGCCCAACTGCCATCGCCACCGCCACCGCAGACTCCAACAGTCTGCTCAGCACAGCTGTAATTGCCAAAATTTTATGGCCCAGCCAACGGCCACAGTCGCAGTCGCAGTCGGAGTCAGTCGATGGTCCAGAATCCCCACAGTCGACAGTTGCAGGATCGTACTAGAAAATTGCATTTGCCGCAAACACGCAACAGAGGGCGCTGCACTAAAATGAAGACTCAACGGCAGCGACAAACTGCAGCAAAATTTACAACAAGAAATGGCAGCTAATTTCAAAAAGGGGGGCCTCCAAAGCTGTAGGGGATTCTCTGTTCAAACAGAAGCAGCCGGAATAGCAGGAAGAGCAGGAACAGCAGGAGCAGTAGCATCAGCAGTAGCACCAGCAGTAGCACCAGCAGTAGCAGGTGCAATGCTCACAAAATTTTCTGTGCTTTTATGGCAACAGCTTTCGATTGTGAGTGAGTACGAGTTTAAGGCATTTACACTCAGAGAAAATAAACGGACCAAGAGGAATCTCTTTGAAAAACTAAATAAGATAATCCAGCTGGTACAATCAGAAGTTCATATGTTTGGTGATAGAGTAATCATGATGAAATGAAGTGAACGGATTTTTGTAAGAAAAAATATACATACATATGTACATATACTACAGGTATATACATATGTTTTGTGGGAATTTATAGTATAATTGCACGATTGTGCTACGATTTCAGACACTATGTAAAGCTCGTTTAGATATATAGTAGGATAGAAATTTGTTGTGCTTGAATCTCACATAGGAAAACCGGAAATGCAATTGTCTTCAAAGTCGACTGCTGTATTTACTAGTGGCTTAGTATTGGAATAAAAATCAGATTAAATTTATTAATTAGTGAGAATAGTTTTCACGGTTTCCTAAAAGATCAACAAAGCTGTATCAAATTTGACAACTGGATGCATTGTTGTTGATTTGAAGACATTACAAAATGACGGAAAACGATCTTTTCAATTGAGGAAAATTACGGAAAAACAATTGATGGCTTATTCAATTTTTTTTTTTGGAAAACTACTACGGTTGTTGACAGTTTGAAAGCTACTGGAAAGTTGCGACATAGAAGAGTTTTGAAAAAGTTGGATACCATGTTCATATCAAACCAAAAAGGCTGCTAAAAATTTAGTATTATTGGCTCTTATTTTCTATTTCTAACATTAAGATTGACAATTTTATTTTTACTATTTTTGAAAATTATACTAGGAAACTATTAGGAAATGAGTAAACTACAGCTACCATACAATTTTAAGAGATTGTTTAGAAATTCATAAATAGTTGAAGATTCTTTTGAATTTAGAGCTTTTTTCTGTAAGAGCTTTGCTTGACTTGCGTAGTTATTAAAAATATTTAGCTCATTATTGCATTATAATTAAAGGTTATTTTAAACATGGTGTAATTCCTTTATAGTTTTTCTCTCCTCCTCTATTGGATTTTAAAGTTGATATTCCTGGTTCGAGGCCAAGGAGGTTATCTCTATATATCTATTTCACGACTCACTATCGTTATATGATCAATGATAGTTAATATACATATGTGAGGATATGTATCTTTTTTTCGAGTGCAAGGAAGGGACACGCACTGACACTAATAGGCGAGGCGGCGGCAATGTCACCTACACGAAAGGACACTTTGCGCTCGAGATGAGTTCAATTTGGTCGTCGTCGGCATGTCCATGAAGACGTCATGTACGACACGGAAACCCAAAGCGTTGTACGTGCTCCGCATGTTAAGCATAACGGCTGACGGGGCTTTGTGTAAGTGGGCGTGTCATCGGAATTATATAATCCACTCACTACTTCTGGCTACCGGGCACTTAAACGTCACATTGCGGTTCGTTTAATGAATGCTGCGTGCTACGTAGGACTGTTGGAAATTCGTTGTGAGTCACTTCTTGTCAATAGAAACTGAATACAAACAATATTATGGCACTCTTTCGCTTAAATATATATGGTGCTTTGCGCAATATTTACAAACACACGCACACACATTCACCCGGAATACTCAGGGCTTGCACAATTCTGCACAGTCAGACGACAACTTTCTTTCTTTCATACGATTTCTTCTTCTTTTTTTCTGGCCCGCTGAACTTTGAATTGCCACGCTTTGTTTAATTTAAAAGTGTCTACAATTTTTTGTTAGCGACACTTTTATTTCAGCTAAATTGTCTCGTTGTTTTGCACACTTTCCGATTTTGATTCACTTACTGCCTGCACTGTTTGCCGCTTCTTAAACTCTCTTTTTCTTCTTTCTTTCCTTTTGAACATATATTTCTTTTCGGCCCGATTTTGAGTTGTGCGCGCATGCGCCAGCGACGTCTTTCCGGCTTTAAGTGCGTCGCTCGTTTGACACGCGACTCGAACGCCGAGCAGGCACTAAGCCAACATTTTATAATGCTGTTGTTGTTGTTGTTGTTGTTGCAGCTACGAGTATAACTTCTCTTGACTCTTTCGACTGATGAGATGAGGCTTATAGTGGGACAGCTTGGCACAATTTGTTGACTTTGCCGAAAGATTTGCATGAGTCGAGTGAAATCCGAGGCAGACAAAATAAATAAAAGAAGAAAAAAAACAAAGCAAAGACTTAATTCGATTCATTTCTGAAACAGTCTTGAAGCTGAAGAACGAGATGAACTCTTTCCTTGAGACAACAAATTATAATCTTTAAATGGAATAATTTGACAGCCATACTGTTTCGAGACAAAAGAACTTTTAGACAATTAGAAGTTCTAAACAATTATTCAACCAAATTAAAATAGAAATATAATTTATATATAAATTATAATATAATTTACAATTTAATTTGCATTTTATTTGATCAATTCAATTTTCTAGGCATCTGTTCCTGCGACATTCTCGAAACATTTTGATTGCCATCGATTTATGGATGAAAAAAAAGTTGCACTAAAATATAAAACAACCCGTTTTCAAACTATTTCAGTGATCTGTAGAGTTTTTTCAAATCAAACTTTAAATCTATTGTTCATTTTGATAAAGAGAAATGGAGTTGTTGGTTGGTTGTTACGATATTTTCACAGTTGCATTTTGATAAAGATTTATCGATAAATGTGATGTGGAACTTTTGTTTTATCCGTCTAGTAGCAACAGCAAATGAATGTTGATCTAATAGTGAGTTTATAATAAATACTGTATTGTGTCTGTCTATTATTCAACTTTTGTTCCATGCACAAAATAAGTACGAAAATAGGATCACAAATAATTGAATCTACCATTTTATGATAGCTATTGTCTCATTAAATAAATCAATTAATTGACATAAGGAATGGATGAGTATTTTTTTGGAACTATGTTCTTCTCTACCAACGAATGACAACCACTTTGGAAATAAATAAACAAGGCACGAGAAGGACTGTAAACATTTGTTCTTCAGAACTCTTTAAACTAAGGCATCATCAAAAATATTGTTCGAGTTGAAAACAAGCTGTTCCACACTTAGCTGAAATTATAAAAATACCCTCAAGTCTTCTGCCTTGTCTCCAGCATTCTTCACAAGCATTTCCAACTTAGTGGCGACTCAAGCACCGTTCATTCAACTCATTGCACATATTTTAATAGGATTGCCGTTACATATTAATCAACAATTTGTTACACTTTTTAAACGTAATATAATTACTGCGGCGACTGGGTACAATTGAACAAAACTGTCTGCGGCAAGCAGAGCAAATAATTCAGACCAAGTGGCCAAATGGCTTAATTATAGTGTAATGGGTGTGCAGAGTGTAAGAGGGTAAGAAAATTAGTCGCTATGGCAAATCGTCTGGAGAGTGAAAGTTGAAGTCAGAGAGCACCGCCAACACTGCCAAGTCAACTAACAAGCCGACTAACTCAGACCAGCAGACTCACTAACTGCCGACTCACAGCCGAAGAGTTGAGTAATTTTCTGCTCTAGTCAGTCCCCAAGTAATCCCCCCACGACGCTGCTTTCTTTTCAGTAAAACGAACTTGCGGCCAACTATGTAATAATTTACACATTTTATTGGCCGGCTGCTCGACGCGACTCCGACTTGTGAGGCTTCAGTGAGGTAACCAACAACAACAACAACAGCAGCAACAACAATATCAAATGGCAGCCATAGATGGAGACGCTTGGCTCTGGCTTTGGCGGTCAAACGAAAGTGAAAACCAAAAACAAGACCAAACACGAAACCAAAGTCGTGCGTGCCAAAAAATAAATACAAAAAATAAAAATAAAACAGAAATACGAAGATGCTGTGGGCTGTTCCAGTGACGTCTACTCACAGTTTGAGGGTAATTGTTAGTTGTTGTTGTTGTTGTCTTTGTCGGTGCTGACGTATTTTTCCGTATGTATGCCAATGTCTGCCATTCAACTTCGTCGCCTAAAAACCCAACTTGGCCAATTGTGGCGTCTCTTGCAAATACTACAATATATATTTGCACGCCTCGCGTCGTTTGTTTTGTTTCGTTATGGGGCGGCCTTACGTAAAGTTAACTCTTTGACCGATTTGCCTTTAGATTAATCATCGAACAGACATTTTGCATCCGCGTGTGGGCATTTGTTTTGGGGCGCAACATGCACTATAAAAGGTCAACAACTCAACATTATAAACACTTTGGCTATCGAAACTAATTTGTGTCAACCAAGGCGAGAAAATGCAGATTTTAAGCCAACACCACTGCTAAAATATCTGTAGGAGGATTAAAAGTAGGGCCTTACCAACCAAAGATGCTGCTCTGTTTTAGGACGGATTAAGACATATTTTAAAATTAATTGTTAAGACATATTTTAAAATTAACTGTTTGGTTTTTATTTAATTGTATTGTTGTCTCTACAAAACATTAATCGAAGATTAAAGTTGAAGGCGGTTCTATTATATATTTGGTGGTGCTTCACCATTTATGAAAATCGGCTAAAAGATTAATAAGATTAAGAAAATTATTATAAAAATGCATCCCATTTATAGTTATTTTTACGACAGTTGTTGAAGAAGTTAGCAATCGATTGGCACCAATTCGTAACTGAATATAATTGCTATGTTATGGCGTTAAGGTAGAGTCTTATATTTTGAAATATTGTTATTCACATTCTGTCTGTATAACAAACTAAAATAAATAATTCCAACAAACTTGGATCTAAATGTGTCATACTATCAATTGCATTGTGGATGGCATTTATGGTTTACCTTTACTTTACCTATCGATGGTTTATTTCTCAATCGATAGTACTAGCTGCCTAAATCGACTCCCAAAACCATAGAAATAAATTAAAAACATAATAGAATATACTATACTAGCGGCACGGTACGTGGTTCGCTACGTATAAAGTGAAATAATAAAGAAATTTAATTGGGACATCAAATTCATTTATTCAAACAAAAAAGTTTATTAATATTAATTTATAAATGAAAAACATGACAAAACAAATTCACACCACAAACCCCATCTGATAAAAGTTTCAATTTGACAGCAATTTGTTATGGGGACATTAACAAAATGATTCGCCATTTATTGAATTCATTTGTTACAAAAAATGTGATAAATGAAAAACCGCTCGACCGATTTTGTGTAAACTTCACATAAACCATCTACCAAATTGTCCGAAACGCCTAAACATTTGGTTTGGATAGGTGGGCCCGTTCTTGAGCTATAAAATTACAACGAAAAGAGGTAGTAATGAATTAAAAATATTGCAAATACCTTTTCCTAAAACTGACTGAGTTGGGAGAACTATATATTATTAAGCTTAGTTTATATATCGTTGACACTATTGGCATATTGCTGTAGCGGGGGGAAGGAAAGGAAGAATCATAAATAAGAGTCTACATACGAAGTCAGGAAATGTGGGCTGAGCTGTTTTCGAAGTCCACGCGTTCATCCACAAGTAAGAATATTAAGAATATATTCATATACACTTTATGGGGTGCTTCCTTCTGCCTGTTACCTATTTTGTATAAACCTTATAAAATATATGCTTTACAATTATAATTATTATAATTAATAAACTCGCAATCTATATCTTTTCTTGCAGCCTTTTAAAATGCGGCCCAAAGAACATTATGAGCTTATTTTTGATGTCATACCGAGACTATATGACATCAATTCAAAGGTCTTCATCACAAATTTGAACAGTATAGAGGAGCAGCTGAAGAGTCTGCCGCTCAAGTTCTGCAAGATGTACACAACGCGTCCTCTGTCGGATCAACTGAAGCTTTATCTAAGCAATCGCAGTGGTGTTTGCCTATCGCCGTGTGATTTCCACATAGTCGAGGAAATGCAGCCCTTCATGCTGCGACTCATCAACGGTCGAGTGCTGGAGGTGATGATGTGTGCCGGCAATGAACTCGGCAACAGTCTGGTGCTGCTCATTCGGAGGCCGCAGGACGGACGCCTCATCTACTTCTACTCGGCAGTGCAGCAGGATGATTTGGGACGGTTGCTCGGCCAGTCCATATTCAATGAGTGGATAGCTGGGGGCACGGACTTGTTATTTTTGAATCTCAAAGGGGCAGAGCGTAGCTTTAGTCACGTGGACTTCGATGCCGTCGCCGCAGATGTGGTTCAGTATGGAAAAGAACACAATTCTGGGACGGTGGTGAAGTTGCCGCTCTTTGGCTGGGAACATGTGGTTCGGCAGCTGGCCTTGCGTTTGCCGGGAAAAGTTCGTCTAATGGGCTCATATGAAAGGATTTATCGCTGCTTGGGCCAGGATATGCGACGCTTCGAGGATCCCTACTATGCTGCTTGCGTCTATATATATGACCAATCTTCCTATGTCCCACAACCGAATATGGTTGAGTTCCCATTGAAGCGATTGCTCTGGTCCCCCTTGCCCACCCGCATTAATCTGATTCAGTTGTGCAGTCTGCTGCGGCCCGATCATATCAGCGGCATTGTCCAGTACCATGACAAGGGCAATGTTCCGCCAGCGCCCACGTATCTCCAGCGTTATCGTGCCACTTTCAAAGGCTCTTCTGCTCCTGCGGATGCAGCAAACGAGTCCCGTACTCAGCAGCCTGCAGCCTTTGTGGCCAATGCAAATGCTTCTGAAGCGCTTAATAGGAAAACTATGCCGACCGTTTTCCCAGTGCGTCGTGCTCAAATATGCTATGACGGGGATGAAAGCGACGAAAGCGACCTTTGAACACAATTTTCATTTTGGGAAAGATTTCGCGGAGCTTTTCCAGTTCTCTATTTCTTTATTTTCCTATAACAAGTATGGAGGCGATGATAGCGACCTTTGAACACAATTTTCATTTTGGAAAAGATTTCCAGGAGCTTTTCCAGTTCTTTATTTCTTCATTTTGCTATAACGAGTTTGGACGCGATGATAGCGATGGTTGAACACTATTTTCATTTTGGAAAAGATTTCCTGGAGCATTCCGGTTTTTTATTTCAAGTTAGTAATATATTTCTTACGATTATCTTTACTCATTTTTTTTTTTTTCGTTACAAAACTGTCATTACTTCGGTTCAAATCTATAAAAAAGCCGATTCAAGAATGAGATTTAAAACAATTTTATATTTGGGAAAGATTTCCAGGAGTTTTTCCAGTTCTTTATTTAAAGTTTTTTTTATTTATTTATTCGTTGGAAAACAGTCAATAGTTCGGCTTAAATTCATAAAAAGCTAAATTAATAATAAGATTAAAAAATAATACATTAATCAATAATATAATTTTAGGAATCATGTTTATTTATTATTCGTTTTAACAATTACAACGTCCAATGGCTATTTATTTATACATTTCATTTTAAAGGGTACAACAATTTTTAGGACCAGCCTAGCCTGCCAACACCTTTTGTCTGTGTGTCTGTCCGTTTGAATGTCTGAACGCTTATATTTCGGGACGTATAAGTGGTATAGTCTCCAAAATTGATTTTCAAATACTCTTAATCGATTTAAATATCAAGCTAATGACTTATGCTTGATTGTGCTGACAAATTCGTTCTAGTCAGGCATTTAGTTCTTCCTTCAGACTATTTATCGGACTATTTGAAAACATTGAGTTTCGGGAAAGCCTCCACAAATCTTTTGAAACATAGAAAATGTATTTTCCGTTCCACCCATCACTCCATCGCTGTATTGCGCATTAAAGCTAGCGTCAGCGCACTATTTATAATTAGGAAGGACCTTTCACTTGAGTGCTCCTTCGACCATAACAGCGAGCACCGAACTGTACCAAAGTGAATGAGAAATACAAAGAGTCCCATTGGAGAGTCCTCTAACCCAACTTCTAAGCACTTGCATTTAATTTGAATACGTACTAGCCGAGCAGGACTCGCTGTTGGCCTCCGTCGGCATTTAATATTAATATCTGAGCTCCATGTTTGCGTAAAAAAGGTTGTTAAAATTATTATGAAATGCCTGTTGGCATGCAGCTGCACACTGAAGCCACCGGTGGCACATTCAGCAACAAGGATATGAACACACATATCCACGACAAATGACCACTTATCAACGTGTAATGAAATATTGCCCACATGGGTGTGAGTGTGTGTGTGTGTGCGTCATATGAAGGATATGAGAAATTGTAGTAGAAGTAGTAGTTGGAAGCATTCAGGCTTTTGTCCTGCTTTGGCATGTCATATGAATTATGTTGATGACCAAAATGATGATGATAATACAGAAAAGGAGGAAAGGAGCATCATGTGTGCTCTGTCTCTATGGCCATTTATTACATTTTGGCTTTTTGACAGATTGCTGAGCGTATGGCTAGCCATATACTAACCGTTTCCGCACTAATTTCCGTGTCCTGCAACTATGCGTTGTCCTCGTCGTCGTTGCCGTTGTCGTCGTCGTTTCTGTGGCCATTAAAAGCCAAAGCAAATTACTCATCACATCAACGACAGCGACAGCGACAGTAGTGGCGAGCCTTTTTATATACGCCATGCCCAGAGATTTTAATAAATCGTTTCGTCGTCCTTAGTCCTTGGACTAGACAGTGAGCGTCCATTGCTTTGGTCAATTCCTTCTTTGCGCATTTTTATTAGTTTGTCAATAAAGTGCCAAAAGACGATGAATGTTCGTTCTTGCTCTTCTCGTTTCCCTTGCCCTTTTCTTGTCTGCCTTATGAGTTCCTTTTATGTCCCCGGGCTATACATATTCTATGTATGTATATTACAGACACACTACTACTACATATATGCGAGATGATTTGTGTTGGAATGAAAGCTTAAATGCATGCCGACGTCAATTTTCGAGTATGTGAACACATTTCTGGCCAAAGTGTTGCATACTTTGAGGCACTCAGGTGTGAGCTGCGACAAGACAAGTTACTTACATTTGTGCACCATGTTGCAAGCTATCAGTATACTCAAGTAATGCGCGTGTGTGTGTGTGCGTACGTTTTGTAATGAATTTTTAATGCATTTTCACTGCAAGTGAATTTTACAGCTTACTGAGGTAGGCAGTCGGAGGGTGGAGGGGCTTTGTTTTCCCAGTCTTCGTTTAATAAAATTAATTTTTATGCTGCTTTATGCTAAGAGCGCATAACTCTCATAACCCCAACATGTGTGGCAAGCGTAATTATATTTTATTTATAATTGAATTACATTGAAGTGTATTTTAAGTGCCTCAGCGCAGTAGTTGAACGTTTTAATTAAAAGATATGCAAAGTTATTATGAAATATAAAAAGATGGGACAGGGAAAGACGATGTAGTAATGGCGATTCAAGTATATCATGGAGTTACTAATTTTAGTTAAATGCAAACTAAAGCCTTACCAATGGCAACTGAAAACACATTTTGTTTTTAAAACGATTTTTGATGATGAAAACAAATATGCCAGCGACGGTGGATTGGCTTTGAAAAAGTCTTAAACTTGCATATTAAATAAAATTGTATTATTTATTGAAATTCTACTTCGAACATTAAGACATTTATTTAGCTTACCAATAATAACATTTTATTTAGTAAAATATTAGTCGAATATTGTCTATTCAGTAAATGATGTTTTATGAAATGCACAGGAGGACTCAATACAAAAGACTAAACACTGTTATTGATTACGACCATAATTTATTTCATCGAAATAGTTTGTTACCCGTTTTAATATTTTTACAAATAGTTTATTTTGCTTTTTAATATCTTACCTTGAACTAACTATATGTTAGGAAGGAATCCGTAATCTATTTTGAACATGCAGGTTGCCAGACTTTATTTTATTACAATTTTTGAATAATAACATCCATTTATAATGACTCGCTATATACCTTTATACATACATCTTACAACAGTAGCTATTTAAGTTTAAACGTCTTGCACTATCTCTGGACAGACATATGTAGACAACATTTTATTTTGAATGTGAGACATTCACAAAAGTAATATTTTGTGGGACAAAACGAAGCCCAGTTATTAGGATCCCTCTTTCTAATTAGTGTATTTGAATATTCGTTCACTTTAATAATTTACTTTAATTAATAAATTAGGTAAGATTGTATATTTATAATACAAATATCATTAAGATGGGCAAACAGGGGTTACACACATATGTAGTTTAATAATTTATGACGTATAGTTATTAGTTGAATTTTTCTTCATAGATATAATAATTATTTATTTACGAAAAAAAGAAACTTTGTATTTTAGTTGTGTTGAACGAAATTAATTTTTTGCCTTTAAATAACCAACACGTAACTAAAATTATTGCTCACTACTTTTAAGCCAAAATCAATTCTTATTCACCGAATATTGAAGTTTGAAATGAATTTCATCCCCCGAAAGGCACAGGCAGTTAATTAAATGCGGCAAATGTTGCTGCTGTTCTCAATAATTTAAATACTCGACTACCTTCCCTATTGTTGTGGTAAAGCATGATGCTCTTGTATGTATGCGCGTGTGGGGGGAGGGGAGGGTGCTGGAAAGACAATAAAATTGCAAATGTATGACAAAAGGACCAAAATCCCAGTCCAGGCTGCAGTTGTCGTGTCTGTTGTTGTTGCTGTTGGCAGGTGTTGAACCAAAAACTAATTATCATAAACCTTAGTCGCGAGCTGGGGGTGGTGGGGGCATATGACGCAGCCATTTAAGCGCATTGATTAGTTGAACTGAAATTTAATTGGCAACTTGTAAGTTTTCGTCGCAACTAAACGCATTTAGATGGTCATAGAGATGAAAAGGGGCTTAGTGGCTGGCCATGCACAGCAAATGCGCCACGCGTTTGCGCTCAAATATCAAATTAAATATGCATATGGATGTAGGTATTCGTGCACGCAATTCGCACAGATTTTCGGTCCGCTTAAATGTAAATGAAATAGGCAAGCAATTTGCTTGGTTTGCTGCCCCTTTGATTGACAGTTGCATGAGGCGATTGACGGAAACGGATGTCATGTCAAAAAGTGGGTGGCAGGTTGAAATAATTGCTCGCAGTCGTCGTCGTTCCTTAAGCCGCTAATAACACATCATTTTTGTGTGACAGCATATCCTGTTTCAGAGTCGCGTGCAGCACGGCGGCAATTATGGGCATTTAATCCGTTCGACCACAGAAAACTAAGTAGAAACGAGAAAAAACTACAAATTGGGTTAGACGGCATAATTTTTGGTGGTTAAGTGGCCAACAAACACGTGTCGCCCTCGATTGTTAAGGGTTGAGGGTCAGTCGTGCAGCAATAAGGATGCTGAGAAAATCGCTCGCAACGGCAGAAAACCTTTGTTGCCTATCGGCGCGGCGCAAGATTTTAAATTATTATTAGCAGCCCCAAAAGTATGCAGTGCTTTTCGTGATCCTCGCTGAATATTAAGAAGATGGAGTTAAAAATTTATACACATATACATATGTATCTATTATGTATGTGTACACATAGGTCTAGAAAGTAAATATATTCGATGTAAATAAAAATGTAAATGTTCGTTCGCTGAACACAACGTTTAATTTGAATTTTTATAATTAAATTAGAGGTATTATATGTATGTATAAACGACTGTATATGTTTAAAACATGAAAAACGCTATACATCGTTTTTTTCACAAAAAGTAATGTTTGGCCTTCCTCCACGTTACCGAAGCCATTCTGCGACCCTAAAACTAAAGCAATATATATGTACTATGTACACCAAAAAGGCGTTTTATCATATTAATTATATGAGCTTATTTTTCAAATTGCATTAAAAGCACATCCCTTCTCTGTTTTTGTTTTTTTATTTTTTATACGAAGCCACTTAAAGCACCAATTGCTAATTCAATTAAATCTTCATATATAAACAAATCAGTGTCTGGTTATCATTTAAAAACCAACTGAAACTAAATAGTTTTTTTGAAGCAACTATACAATGTACGAGTAAAGAATTCATTATTCTAGCATTATTTGGTGATGGGAAAAGGCATTTCCCATGTGAAAAAACTGAACATTACAACGCATTCCACAATAAAAAAGCAACTATTTGATTAAAGTTATGCTAATTATAAAAGCGATGTATCAAGCTTTATCAATATTGCACTATGAATATAATGAAAAAGAATCTGAAATACATGTAGCTCTGTTTTAAAATATAAACAGTGATATTTACACTCTATCATAAAGAATCGAAAAAAAATTTAAATTCTCCAGCTGGTTCGCTCTAAAATAAATTCTGAATGCTTAATAAAAGACTACTAAAAAAGTAATATTCTTTATGTGGGAAAGTTGAAAGGGTTGGGGTCTGCCAGAAATTCCAACAAGAACAACAGAGAAAACAATTAACTTTCATTCCAAATAAAAGATGTGGGTTTTTTTTTATTTGATGGTTTTTGCATTTTATTTGTATATCGTATATAATGTAGATCATCTTACATGTATGCATGTACATATATTTAAGCTTGTTTTTTTTTTATTGAATGTACACATATTTGTCTTATGAACAATATTTCATGAGATCATTATGATAATAATAATAAAAAATATTACAGCATAAAAATGTACAAGTTATACGAGTACGTACGACATTTTGCTATACAAGAATTGTTGGGGGAAGCATTTAATTGAAAATTGAATAAAGTTTTATGCTCGCTTAATTATCTACTATATATATGTGTATATATAATTAGCTTAGATTTAACGAAAATGTGTTCAAAGCAGCATTTTAAAAATACAAATTGGCAGCACATTTAACACGTTTTTCAATTCTTTTCCTCCTCCGTACTTTTGGCACCAAAATCTATACAAATGGCATTCATTTTGCACATATTTACAAATACAGATTACAATAGTTGTAGGCGAAAATCAATGAACTGTTTGAGTTTCATGCCTCTCTTTCTCTGTGTGCGTGGGAAATCATAATGAAAACAAAACAAAAAACAAAAAAAAAATTGATAAATTGTTGTTTCTGTGTACTTTTCCTGCTGTTTTTCTTTTCTGCCTTTCAATTTTTTTGTGCACCGCCGCGTTATGGCAACAAATGTTTGTGTTCCGATCGAGAACTCGTCGTGGCACTCATTTGGACGCGCGGCCACAAAACTATACCGAGATCATTGTGAAAACTAATTAGCCATGAACGCGCGTAAAATTGCACAACAATTGACAATTTCTTATTCTTATTGAGTTATTGATTTAATTTTTGCTGTTATGCCAACTTTGCGCGCAGTTCATTTTTTACAATTTACAAAATTTTTATCATGGTTGGAAATTTGTATGAATGTGGGTGAGTGTGTTTTTTTTGTGTGTGTGTATGTGTGTGTGTGTGTGTGTGTATATATATATGTGGACAAAAGAATATTAAAATTAAGGTAAAATACATGGCTTACCAATTTACTAATAGTACTCAATTATATAACTTTGCTCTTTGCTCTTTCCTCTTTATCTGAACATACCCACTAGAGTTTGTTTTAGAACTTGATGGATGGGTTTCCATTGTAACAGAAATGCAAATGCAACTTAAGAGTACAAAATGTATTGCAAAATATATTGTATATACTTGTATGTGTGTGTATGTATACAGACAGCTTAGGTGTATTTATGCCTACAAAATAATTTGTGTCTAGTGACGAGTAGTAATGATATATGTATGTATATATATATATATATATATATATATATATATATATGTCTGTCTGTATGTATATAGCAAAAAACTTAGAGTTAAATACACGACTCGATAAATGTGATATAAACTATAACGCTTTGCGCTCCAATAATGCCTAATCCTAAGCCTATAAATCGAATATTTATTTATGTATTTCTCTTTCTCCATGTGGTTGATGTATGTATGTGTTTGTGTATTATGATAAAAAATCCATGAGATCAATGCGATTTTTGGGAATTGTTTTTTGTTTTCTTTCTTTTTTTTTTGTTTCTTTTTGATTTTGCTTATTTCGTGTAATTTTAATTTATTTATTTTTATTTATTTCACGGTTATTCGATTAGCATTGAATTGCTTTGCTGAGCAGTGCATGAATATTGGTGCCGAAATGTTTCGAAACTTTGCCAGAGAGATGAACATAGTACTAAATTGTTGTAACTTTCTGTTGTTGTTGTTGTTGTATTTCTGCTGCTTTGCTTGACTTGAGACTTTGGCTAGCTTGTGGAGATCAATTGAGTTTATTCATTGAATTGCCATGGTTTGAGAGATCATTCGGCGTTGGCTTTGATAGTTAACCAAATAGACGAAATAACTTTACTGCTTCTCTGACAAACTTTCAAAGCATTTCGCTCCCTCTCCATGTACTGCGCCTAAAACTAGTGTGAGACCAATTTGAAAAATGGTTGAATTAAACAAAACAAAAAATTAAAAAAAAAAAGATTGGAAAAAAACGCACGCACATAAAATGATGAACGCTGCTTAACGGCTACAAAATTTAACTAAAAACATGTGCAATTAAAATGTTTTTAAACATCACAAAAATGGCATAAAAACTATGTACAACAAATTGCTATATGTATTTATATATATATAATTTTTTTGTATTTTTTGTTTTCTGCTTTTCTCATTTGATATTCTCTTAGCAATTTTTAACAATTAAAGCTAAATAATTTTCTTCAATACGTAAATTTTTACTAATTTAAAGCAACATTTAATTAAGCATGATACAAATATTTAAGCTATCTTTTCTGTTTTGTTTTGTTTTGTTTTGTTTGTAATTGAAGTTACAAGCGAAGACATGTTTGTTTAAGAACTAAATATGTATTTTCTTTTATGTACAAATCGCGTATAGTTTTTAAGATATACGTAAGTATTTATAGAAATGCAATGCTAAATGCAAAAGCGCCAAAAATTTCAAACTTATAACTGCAGTTGGGAACCGGCGTCAACGTCTAAATATTTCTGTTTTCAAAATGGCAGTTTGCTGTTCTAAATACTTAGAATTTATGTTTAAACATTTTACAAAAATATTTGAGAGTTTCTTTTGTGTAAGTAGATCCAAAACAATTATACAATACCAAAAATATTCAAAGATCATCTTTTTTGTTAGCAAAAATATTATTTGTGTTAATTTCTTTTAGTCTTAGTCTTTTCTTGCCAGTCTACAGTTTGCCATTTGCTGAGAGCAGTTTGAATTTTCGTCTCATAAGTATATATATTATAGATATTGTTCTTGTGTCCCGTCAACCTTCTTAGACATTAGATGTAACTATGCTATATATGCTCGATTTGTGCAGATCATGGTGATGACTTTTGTGCATTTCAATAAATTCGTTGTTATTTGCCCCACACTTACATATACTATACATATGTATGCAATGAATTATCTAAAGATCGTCGTCTTATATCCTAATTCTGGTTATGTTTGCTGCTGCTTCTTTCCTCCTTCCTGTTTGGCACTCATCGCGCGGCAAAGAAGCCGCAGCCCATGGCAAGAACAAAAACGGTGACAACTGTGGGCCAAGTGAAGCTATGTTTTTCTTTGTTCTGCAAAGAAAAGAATGAATATTTTGATAAGATTATGACATTAAAAATACAAGTATATTAATAATTGAGTAGTTCATTAGTTAATTAGTTGAGATGTATGAATTATTGAAGACTGTTTTATGAGCACCGATACATTTTCAATATCCTCCCTGGACAATTGATTCAAGAAAGCCGTCGAAATTGAATCCCTTTTGGAAGCCGGCTGAGAGACTCTTCTATTTAACAAACTTCTTAATGCCTAAGTTGCAATCGTAATATAATCTACAATTAATTCAAAGACATTCTTCTATATACATAAATTAAAAAAAGTTGCCTTTTATTGGATATAAAATGCATGTTACTTCTTACTTCCGAACCTATCTAAATCGTTCTCTAAATAGCTAAGGACTGAGATAAGCCCCAACCTGAGTAGTTCTAAGCACTCTGTGCACAAAAGAAGACGGACAAAGCAATGTAAATAATTGGTTTACACTTGACCGCCGTCTGTGTCAAATGCTTATATCCATAAACAACTATTCCCTAGTGTAAAATAAACTACAACTTAGTCGCGTGTTAACTTCACCTTTCCGCGCACACCCCCCGCACACACTGAGCTGTAAATCAAGTGAAATGAACCCAGAAAACCCCACGAATTGTTTTGTGGTCAGCTGCATTGTTATAATTATTTTCCATAGTTGTAATAATAACAATTGAGCACTCATTTGTGTGTGCACTTGTTTGCCATATCAATGGATATATAATTTACACACAGGCCGGTTCGGTTCACGCACGATTGGCTTTTGTGTGGCCCCCGCGCCGGACAGTGTAGTACAACCACCCTAATGGCATATCTATTCGTACAATTATGCAAATTCTTTACGTATGTAGTTGTAAGTGCATCAATTTTCGGCATATTTTTATAGAATTTTCGCTTATGCGGGTTAATGATGAAGAAGTCGTTTGACCATTTGTCCGCATTTTATCGAATGATCAAATGAAATCAAAAGATTTTGCTTTTGTTTTCTACTCTTCCAGATACTGCTAATAATGTTTAAATTGTTTTTAAAATATAATCTACTTTCCTTTTCCAACGAGTTTGCCTTTATCATCCCTCTCGACATGAATGGAAAATTACTAATTTTCTTCATTTACGCATTTGTACATATGTATGTATGTATGTATATATACATGTACATATATATAGTATACTTGTACATAAAACTGTGCAGATTGATGATTTTCTCACGATCTGACTGTTGTGCGGGACTGCGGAATGAGGTCAGCAGCCAGCAGCGAGATAAGCTACGTTTTAAGAACTAAATGAATTTGCCTTTTCTTTCCACTTAATCATTCAAAAATACATATGTATGTATATACAGTTATGTATATGCATGTATATGCATACTATTTACTTTGCATTTATGAATATGCGAAAACTGAAACGGTATCAAATCGCAACGACTATGACTGTGCCCTCGAGGAGTGCTTTGTCTCGGGCGATTGAGTTTCTTTAGCATTTCAATTCAATTCTTTAAATTGCGTCTTAGGTTAAATCTTTAAGGTGGAGGGGCAGGCAAAACTAAGGGAAGTGACACACTTTTGTGAGCGCCCAGTGGCAGTCAGATGACAAAGGCCTAGTGTCTGACTAACTAACTAAAAGCTAGAGTGTTTGCCAGACGGCAATTCACATACCCTTTCCTCACATTTTCTGTAAATCAGAATTTTATTTTTCACGTCATCTTACGAACTGAAATTATAAGTGCTGCAAGGTTAAACTATTTACTTGTAAATCATTATTTAAAAGATACTCGTATATAATAAAATGTATAATTTTAATTTCAAGAATACTTCGCTGAATTTACCAAAAAAATTCATTGCATATCGATGTTCGCTTATAAACGATATACAATTTAAAAGCATTGTTCTTCAAAAAGAATTCTTCTTCCGATTCAGAAAACTAATACTAAATGATGTTGAAACGTATTTTTTAAAATAGATTTATGCTCAAATTTTGGATTTTCCTTAATCAAATTTCAAATATAATTATGAGTGTATTTTAATTTCGGCCTTTCGATGAGGGACCTGCCATCATATATGTAGTTCTAGTTGTTTACGCCTGCAAGGTATAAGAGAGAGCTAGGGAAAGAGAGGAAGCACGCCAAGGCGGCATTGTCACCGTCCGTCCAAGCGCTGCGCAATTAATTTTTATCATACTTAAGTTTGTTCGTCTCATTATGCTTGCATACACACACACACACACACACACACACAAACACGCATGCATGCATGCATATGTGTGTATATTTTGAATATTTGCGCTCCTTGCGTGGCTTGGCAATTTGTCACGCGCTAAGAGCGTGAGAGAGAGATAGAGAGTGAGAGCGCGCTGAAGAGAGTGAAATTGACGGAGGCTGTCAGTTTATTTTTAGGCGCACATTAAATTTTTGCTAGTTTTGTGCAATTCTCCAGCACGTGTTCACGCAGCAGATGCGCAAGTTAATGAACTTAGTTGCCATTGTTGTTGTTAGTGTTGCATCTAATTGAGGCGTAAAATGCTTTGGCACTTGTCGCTTCTTACCTTCTGCTCGGCCTTTTGCTGTTTTTGTTGCTGGTGCTGCTTCTGCTTCTGCTGTTGTTGATGTTGTTGTTGGCTGTGGCTGCCACTTGGCGCATCAACTCCACAAGCAGCACTGCTGCTGTTGTTATTGTTGCTGCCGCCGTTGCTACTGTTGGGGCTGTTCTTCTTCTTACGCGGCGGTATACGTCCATTGAACTCCTGCAAGCGCTCGCGTGCTTCGCTAAAATTGCGAAAGCGATCAAATTCATCTCTGCTGGTCTCCTGATCATCTTCGCCGGTGGAGGTCAACCGCTTGCTAAACGATGAACGGAAAGATTGAAAGAAATAAAGAAAGAGAGAGAGAGAGAAATTAGTGTGAGCTTATCAAAAAAAAGCTGAGTGGAGCGGAGGGGAGCTGAGCTGAGTCGCTATCTCCTATGCTGCTATTTATGGACAGCCATCGTTCTGCCGACAATTATGTATGTATGTATGCATTTATATGTATTTATATGTATGTATGTGCAGCAGAGCTGCTCTAATCAGATATAGCAATAATTATTTATTATTAATTGATTTAAGTGTTAAACATTTTCACCCCAACCATAAAATAATATAGCTCTATATAATCCAAATGTTAGAGACCCAGATCCTTGCTTACGAGCTATTAAGTTAATTTCGTTATTTAGTGTTGATTACGATTCTCTGCCAACTAGGAAATCCGAAAAAGCATGATTAAAATTTCACAAGCCAAGCATGTTGAGACTCTACAATGAATCGTCTTAAGCATTCTATTCTACTCTATTGTTCGGTATTTTATTTCGTTGGCTCTATTTCAAAACGGATCGAAGTCTATTTCTGCAAAGATCAGCTGCTCCCACCTTGATCGGCAACTCTTGATGCAACTTGCTACTCACCGTCTGGCCGCATCTGACTGGCTGCGCTGCAAGCGCATTTTGGCGCCACTGCAGGAGCCTGCAGGCAAGGGTGTCGATGCCATCGGCATGTGTGGATGCCATCCGAAGCTGGCCGTGGATGTGGAGCTGCCGCCAGCGTTCGGCGTGGGTGGCGGCGTATAGGTGGAGTAATAGGCAGTCGAGGCATAGGCAGCCGGATGATGTTGCAGCAAGTGCGACTGCTGTGGGTAGCTGTGGCTGTAGTGCAAGGGTGGCGCCGACAGTGGTGGTGGCGGCATTGGCTGCGGCGTCGATGGCGGCGGCGGATGCTGCTGTCGGAAGTAGTTGTACTCCTCGCCGGAGGCAAAGCTGATGCTGGTGCGTGGTGTTCGTGGTGTGGGGGCTGTTCCCATGTTGGGGGCAAAGAAAATATCACCGCCTGTGTAGCTGGGCGATTGGGCAAAAGAGCACGACGGACTGGGTGGGTATTGAAAGATTTGTTGCGCTGCAAAAGTAAAAGGGAGATCAGTTAGTTAAGTCGTCAACAACATTTTAAACACTATATGTAACAACAACAACAACAATGAATTGTAAACAAAGGTGACTTTTTGTGGCATTGGCCGTCATCAGGGACTCGGCCACAATGCAAGGAAGTGTCTAAGGTCGTTGTGTCATTGTTGCGTACTAATTGCCACCTATTGTCATCTTTATTCTATAATTGCGTCAAGTCGTTAACTAGCCCGGTGATTAAATTGTAGATGCATCTTATTAGTGTGGCTGTTTGAAAGAACGAGTTCTTCAGTATAGTTATAGTATGACAACCTATTTTTTGCACTTTATTATGATAAGACAATATTTTCTTTATCAAAAACCCAATCCCAGTTTATGTCAAAGGTTTCAAACTCTTTGTAGGACAGAAAACGGCATTGTTCTAGCTACGATATATATATATATATATAAAACAGAAGTCTTAAATATGAGGGACTTGGAGTTCTGGAAATGAGAATCGATCGGAATCAGTCCAATCATTCAATCAATTTCAGTATTCCTTGAAGACCATACTAAGACGAAGACTAACAATCGAACACAACTTACAGTCGAAAAGACCATTTTCAATTTAAATTCCCGAACATTATTCACAGCTACCAGCTTTTTTTGAAGATGTTACTCTGATAATCAATCAATCAATTGATTTTTAATAGATCTATTCACTTATAGCAGAGTAGAAGACCGTTCTAGCTGCATATAAGTTCAGCTTAATTGAAAAATGTACTAATAATGTTAATTAAATGTTAATCATTATTTTTATTATGAAAGCAGACAAAAAATAATCGCACGTTTGACGTAAACATGTCTCTTTGTAATTAATTTAAAATCCAAACATACAGTATATGAATATATAGCATAATCATTAGTCTTCCATTTTCAGATTCGAACTATTTTATAGAGTTGTGTTATAAAATGTTTTAAGTACTTAGTAGTAGTGTCTGAAAGCAGCACCTTTGAGCAGAGTCTACAGTCGTCTTCAAGTGTACAAATGTGTGGAAGTGTTTACTTTTCAGAAACATTTGCATACGAGTACGTATTATAGTTGCAGCTACTTAGCCCAACTCGACTCGACTCGACTCGTCCCCCCCTCCATCCACAAGAAAGCGTTGATAGCCTTATAAGTAAGCTGCTCACATTTGATATGCGCATAATAAATTGACGACAAACTCACTGACGAGTTTGTAAGTTTCAGTTTCTTAAGCAGGCATTTACGTATTTTCTTTTCATATTAGATTTAACTTAATGTTTATATACTTCAGTCGCATAGGAATGATTGATTGTAATGCAAATTTTATACAAATCATCGTCAGCAGTGGCCTTTGGCAGCAGCAGCAGCAGCAGCAACAAATAATCAGACGACGATAATGTCTCAAGCTACTAATTGCCGGAGGGCATAATTTATGTGTCTTATGGCTCGCTGGCCGGTCAGTTGCCATTCTAAGTCAGTCAGTCAGTTAGTCAATTTGCATGGCCACTTAAAAATAGCTTAAGATGCAGATACTATAGGAGCACATACCCACAAATAATGTCATTCATCGTCAACCTGCAGGCGATGCCAACTACATAATTTGCAATTGACCCAATAGCCTTGAACTCGAAACAATGCAACAGCAGCAGCGGCAGTAAGTATCTACAAGTATCAGCGAGTATCCATGAGCTGCTTCGAACCACAGCTGTTGCTGCTGGAGTTGCACACCGAACAGCAAAAAAAGAAAAAATTAAAGCTTTGTTTAATTGGCCAGTGTGCCACTCCTTTGAGTTCTGCTCGCTGCTCGTTACATGTGTGTTGTGCTGCATCTTACAGATACATGCGAGCACTTCAAGTATCTTTACCATTTGAAACTAGTTTGCGAGCCGCTAGCTGCAACAGCTGCCTGAAGCGCGCTCAAGCTCACGTGCCCCCCATAGTCGCAAAATGCATTTAACCTTGAAAATCTGCCAGCAGCTTGATTCGATGTCTGTCTGTCTGTCTGTCTTTCCGTCTGTCTGGCAAGCAGGCAGGCAGGCAGGCAGGCAGTCAGGCCAGCAAGCAGGCGGCATCATTAATACTTGGTTCTTTCTATCTTGTAGCTGCAAGTTGTTTTTAGTCATGTTGGTGTTATATAAGCTCAGTGCTGGCTGTTGTTGTTGTTGTTGTTGCAGCCCCTTTATGATCATCATGATGATGATGGTGATGATGAAACGCATACGAGTACGTATATAAAAATGTAACTACTAATTGCAAATTGTGTGGAAAATTATTTGCAAAGTGTAAAAATTGCACATTTGCATACACACACACACACACACGCGCTCAGATATGCATGTATATGTGTGTGTGTGTTGTGTGGGGAGAGTGTGTGTTATCTGGCCAGGGATGGAGGAGCTCGAATTCGTAGCAAATCATTTTGAAGATACATACATATTTAATTCTCAGCTTTGCAGTACTCGATGATAAGATGTTGAGACTAATGGGCAGCTTTTATTTCTTATGTACTATATATTACTGATTAAATTTAATATTTTCTAAGAAATGTTTTATAATTTATTAATGTATTCTATGGGATTGAATTACAAGAAAATAATCAGGCCAGCGACAAAATAGTTCCCTTGACTTTTTAATATTTCTTCATGCAAAATAAATTGGGAAGTCCCTTTAGTTAACTAAAAACTAAACTTTTAATACTTAGCTTCCTAAATTCTTAATACCTCGTATAATTTCTGAGATAAATGCTCAGACGGCAAATAAAATAATTATTGCATTAAAATGAAAGTATCAGCCTTTTTTGCCAAACATATACTTTTGAAGAAAATTTTAAGCAGTGTTCATATTTCTTCATTCAAAAAAAATTGGGAAATCCCTTCACTTAGTGAAGAAGAAGTGTTGAATTTATTATATTTTTGTTATATTTGTAGTATTTGCCAGCCCTGGGCCCTTCTTCTGTTGCTTTTGCATTGCATTGTTGTTGGTGTTGCTGTTCTGTGTAGGGGTAGGGTGTTTCAAGTCGAACATTTATGGCCGCACTCTGGCAAATTTATTTTGAATGCATGCGGGCTGCTGTGACTTTTGTTGTTGTTGTTGTGGTTGTCTTGAAAACGTGATCGACCGTTTTCCCTGCCATTGTTGCTTTAAAGGTATTTGTTTAAAGGTATGATTTCCACATACAAACATACTTATGTATGTACTTACATATGCATTTGCTTTGACAATATGGCACCAAGTTGCATGGAATTATTGCTGGGCTATGACGTGTACTACACACATATATACATACATATATACATATATACATACATATTTGCCGCATCTGTATTGTCTGCCCAAAGCAATTATGTGTATAATTTACTTAACATTTATTTCTTCACCTTTTTTTTTGCTTGCAACAATTTCTAAGGTCGCTGGCAGGCCTGACAGTCGGCGCACAGCTGACAAACATCAATCAGCAAGAATAGCAACAACAATAACAACAACAAGAAAACTAAAACTCAAGTTAAACTAAGCAGAACGCAAGGCTCAAGAACAATTTACAAGTATGCGATTGACGCTGGCAGCCGCTGGAAAAGCTAGCAGCGGAAAAACGTGAAAAATGCCGCAGAGTTCTTGGCATGTGTGTGTGTGTGTGTGTGTGTCTGTTACGCTTTAGTTGCCACAAAAGAACAAAACGGCGACGTTTAATGCATTTTTAGTTGCTCAGTTGAGTTGAGTTGATTACATGACAGGCAGCAGCGAGCTAGAGCTATAGAGCCAGCTAGCCAGTCGGGCAGTCATCAGTAAAGCCCGCAGCATATGCTCATTATGGCCTTGAAGTGTTGGCAGAAATGTAAAATGTGAAAAAAATAAATAAACTGCTATTGCGTCGCTTTAACTGAAATCGAAATGGAAACTTGTTTATACGGCATATTCCGTGCTACTTGGTCAAAAATGTTGGTCATTGGGCAAATGCATCAGATTGCTGTTAAGTATATTGATTCATGATGCAGAATTTATAGCTTTATTCTGATGTGAGACGACAGACGAATAATTCAACCTAAAACTGCAACAAATGCAATTATATGCGAATGATTATCAACCATTCAGCACGCCTCAATAATTAGAGCTTTATAACATTATCTAGTAATTTGTGTACTTTAATAATATTTTAGATTAAATCTAACGCTTTTTTACACTTCTATGTGCTGTCCATTAGCAGTCTATTGTAGATATCGTTTGATTAGCACCTTTTGATCAGAAGTTATGGTGTCGATCTTTTGACATTTTGCAAAAAAAAAAAAAAACTGATAGATTCTTCACTATTTACTTCCTGTTTCTGGGCCTTCTAAAGTACCATCTTAGATTACTAGTTTACTAAGATTATTATAGAAAAGATTGCGAAAACCGGCATCATTTTAGATTATAAAATTACTAAGATTGTTATACAAAATATTGCGAATACATATGTATTAAAAACAAAACAAAGATTTAAATTAATAAGCTCGTAGGTGTTTAGTTCAGCTTACAGTAACTCCCCTTATGTTCTTAAAAATAAAAACAAATACCTCTCATTAAAAAAACTATAATTTAATTGCATAAATGCTACCATTTCATCATAAAATGGCTTTTAAAAAATTTGCCTGCCGGCTCTGCCTCAAAAGCGCTTAATTGGAATTGTGGATCCACAAGAAAGATCTTAGTGGTACATTGTTCGGTGATTGCTTGTCATTAGTAAGATCATTAACCATTACATCTAACAGTTCTGTTAAAGATGTTTTCGATTTACAGAGCTTCCTTTTGTTTAACAAAAACAATTCCCAGCCTTGTAAAGTTTCCGCATTTTTTGTCATGCGTCATGTTTTTTGTTTCTGTTTTTTTTTTTTCAGAAAACAAACAACGTGCAATTCCCAGACCTAACGGTAAGTTGCATTACACAAATGGCTAATTAGCGCTACCAAAATTGGTAATTAAAATTGGATAAGGCAATCGATTGAGCGGGCTGGCGA